GTGACTTTTGTAACATGTGAAGTAAAAACAAACGGTAATAATATTCCATAAGTAGAGCCAATAATGCGGGTTAGCGATGCAGGTTGAAGTAGCCCTAGTCCGCCTAAATTATTTTTTTAAAAAAAAAATTATTATTTGTATAGGTTGAATTTAGTTTGAAATATTAAAATTAGACTTAGGAGGTGTTTGGAAGCATCCAAAAGTGTTTCTCAGAAACACTTTTCCATAAAACGAGGCAAACTCCTCACATATTTGCTTCATATATCATAAAAGCACTTTTGAAACTATGGTTTAATTTCAACTCAAACACCCCCTTAGAGTTTTAAACTTAAGTACTGGGTTGTAATAAAATAATATAAGGATTGATTTATAATTTAAGAAGATATTTTAGAAAAACTAACATATTTTTTCTAAATAATTAATTTAACTAGTTTCCTTATCCAAATTAATTAAATAGATTTTTTATGTGTATATATAAAGTGCTTAATTACATATACAATGATATGTATGAGGCAATATTCATATGAAATTTGACAGTTACAATCCTGCAACTATATTATACTACCTCCGGTCCTTAATATAAGACCCTATTTAACTTTTATTTTGGTCCTAAATATAAGACCCTAATCTATTTTATCTCTCATATTTACACATTTTTTCCCAAAGTAACCCTTCTAACGATGATAGTTTTAGTCAATACACTTGATTAGCAAGGATATTTTAAGAAAGACAACACCTATTTAGGACAAATAACTAACTCAACTTACTTCCTTAATCTCCTCAAATTAGTCAACTGGGTCTTATAATTAGAACCGGAGGTAGTATAATATATTAGGAGTTGTATTGGGGGGCAAAAAAAAAAAAAAGAGCTAGCCTACCAACCTACGAGTTAGCCTGTGGTGGATCAGGCTCAAAGCAGTGTGGGCTGAAGTAGCCCGTACTTTAGCAGGTTGGTATTTTGCCAATGCGAGCTGGCCATTTTTGGCCCAACTGCCGACTGTAATATTCGTAGGCTAAATTGGGATGCGTCCTAAAAAAAAGAGGGGGTCACAACTCACAATACACAAATTTGGAAGGTTCGGAATGGGATGAGTATTAATTTTTTTAATGATCTGTGGTTATTCACGGATAAGAGAATTAAAGATCTCTGCCTACAACCTCTCACCAAAGAGGAGAACGATAGTGTTGTTGCAGACTGGATACTTAATGGCACCTGGAACTTTCAACAACTTAATTCTATTGTGGACCATAGTGTTTTACAACGGCTAATTAGCATTATGCCACCTATGGAGAGTGCAGGATATGACGTGATGTCTTGGAAAGGTACTTCAGATGGCTCTTTTTCCATTAAGAGTGCCTACCAAATGATCGAAACAAGGCCTCCTGATAAATATGACCCAATATTCAAGTTGATCTGGCAGTGGAAAGGAGCTGAGAGGATTAGAACTTTCTTATGGAGAGCTTATAACAATTGTCTGCCAACAAATGAATGGAGGAGCACGTGGGCTCATACTTCACCCCTTTGTGGTTATTGTCAAGACAAAACGGAGGATATATTACATATCTTACGGGACTGTCATTTTGCTCGAAATATGTTGATGGAGAATATTAAAAGTAAGTATGTACAATCCTTTTTCTCCCTCTCTTTGAAGGATTGGATTGCTGCTAATCTCAAAACTAAAATGGGACATTCCCACAGCCAGAGTTGGGATACTTTTTGGGGAGTAGCTGTATGGAAATTATGGAGCTGGAGGAATAAGGTAGCTTTTGACACGAACTTTATGAAACCACTTAATCCTACAGCTTATTTGAGGACATGTGGTAAACTTTATGGCATGAACACTATTTGTGGCAAGGCGAAACTGATTGGTAATCGTGATGCTGGAACTTCTTATTCCTGGACTCCACCTCCTCTCAATTGGATTAAATTAAATGTGGATGGTGCTGTGGCTTTGAACTCATCTCAAGCTGGTTGTGGAGGCTTACTTCGGGACTTTAAGGGCTGTTGGATTGTTGGATTTACCCAAGAACTAGGAATCTGCAGTGCACAAGAGGCGGAAGAATGGGCCATTTATAGGGGGTTAAAACTAGCCTGGGACTTTGGATTCAGAAATATCATCCTGGAATCAGATGCCAAATTCCTGGTACAACAGCTCCATACTCACCACTCAAGTACCAAGTCCAGTCTTCTTTTTATTCAGATTCTACAGATGCTGCAGTTTGATTGGACTGTCAAGGTGGACTATATCTCGAGGAAAAGTAACAAGGTTGCTGATAGTTTGGCTAAAATGGGAATTTCCCATTCTCAGTTTTTTGATGCTTGCCCGACTAGTTTAAGGGCTCTCGTGCAGGAAGATTGTATGGGATGTGATCCCAATATTGTCTAGTTTATTTTGGCTTTAAGCCTCTTCTGTAGCAAAAAAAAAAAAAAAACTTGACTCCTGCGTATCGGGTCGGGTTATGAGATACTCCTCCGATCCTTAATATAAGACCCATTTAACTAATTTGATTGTATTAAGAAAGTTAGGTAAGTTAGTTAATTATAGGAAAAGTGACTCATTTTTCTTAAAACACCATAATCATTTTACTTAATACCTCCTCTCCCTCTTCTACTTAATTATGGTTGATGGAGTATCTATAGGGGTAATTTAGAGAAAATCGATAAATATGAGAAATGGATCTTATATTTAGAACCAAAACCAATTCAAGAATTAGGTCCTATATTAAGGACCGGAGGAATATTAACCGCAAAAGCTCGACGGCCCACTACAGCAACGAGGATATCTACCATTTTCTTTTTCGGGGTTCAAAAGTTATGCGGAAAATCCTTCTGACCATCACAGGCTTTACGGAGGTTACAGCCCTTCTAGTCAAATGGGCTTGACTCAACCTGATACAAAACCTCGTAATGTTAAATTAGGATTAATTAATTACTTAAAATAAAGTAAATATTCTCATTAATTGATGATATTTCACATTATTATTAAATTTGAACAAATTTAATCCAACAAAAAATCATGATTAACACACGCTTTGTTGCTTCTTTGTTTTATGAATTTGTTCTGCTACTGAATAATATAAAAAATGGAACATAATTTAATTGGCTGTTATATTGTCAATTGTTTTAGATTTTTGCACTCATGACCTGATCTGCACTATATTTATCTTATTTTGCAGGTGTATATATTAATTCTGTTTCTTAATATAAAAACTAGTTTAATATTTAATTTGGTTATAAATATAAAACTATAATCTACTTTGTCTTCTATATTTATTTATTTATTTTCAAAATACTTCTTATAATGATTGCATATGTTAAAAGTTTCCATAAACTATTAATCCTAATATATATTATTTGTAATGGTATTTTACAAAAGATAAAACCTATTTATTATAAATAACTAACTTATTAAATTTTTTTAATATGTTTTAGTCAATTACTTTTTATATTAAAGTCTGTGTATAGTATTAATTAATTTACATGACTTAAAATATAATTAATCGTTGTCTACGAATAACTAAATTCACGGTCCTTTGCCTCAAAGTTGGAAGTTTGGGCGGTCGAGAGTAAACAATTTTGATCACGACGACAAATTTTGAGAAGAAAGCTAAATCATAAATGCCGATTGAAGCATAATCAATTTCTAGCACAACTTGTTTACTGGATAGCTCAAGGAACAAGAAGAAAACAAAGAAAGCGTCCTCTTCCTCTCGATCTCTGCGCTCATGAAAATGCCTTTTTTTCTGGAATCACTTTCAGTTAAAAATATATTAAACTCATTAGATCTAGATTGTGTATATGTGATTTAAATGGTTTAAATTTAAAATTTTTAATTAAATATTTTTAAATAGAAAAATTAGTTTTTGAAAAAATAATAGGTAAGAGATTATTTCTATTTTAAATTGTACACGTATTAAAATAATTATTTTAAACAAATAAAAAAAGAAATCATATTCTTTCAGACCATTTAGATGAGATATGAACAACTAAGATACGGTGCACTTATGGTATTTATTAAAGTGGTGGGTATTGAAACTGGTCCGCTTTTTTCTCTCTTCTTCTTAGCTTGACTACTACATATTGCTTTGCTCCCATTTCTCTCTGTTTCAAAGAGGAATGAAAGCAGAACAATGTGTAGGAGTATAACGTGGCCAAACATAGTTTAGCGTGGGTCAGAAGTTCAAGGCTTGGACGTTATGATAGACTAAGATAAATTAGGACCAGTCACACTCAGTCATACATCCATATGCCTCTTTCAGGATTAAAAGTTGAATGACGATCCTCCCACTATCATTTGCCACAAAAGGTTCTCGCAACTATTTGTATCCTATAATTCTGAAGTTCAATCTCATCTCAAAATATACGATAACCACAAAAGGGAGAATGAACATGGATGCAACATCAGATCGAAGTAATACTTACCCACCGCCCCCCTGTCCTGATATATTATATTTCGCTAAATTCCATGATGATTCGACTGCAAACAAGATATAGCGTGAGAGTTTCTCAGCCTCGCACGACTGAGTATCGTTTATTAATTGACGATGAGGTGTTTAGATCTCACGTAAACTTCTTTATCTTGTCAAATCAAAACACGGTAGGTAATTTACTCTCGACTCTATCTGTTTCTTTTCTACGTTCCATGGAACCGTATGCAACGTAAATTCTAACATTTTGCATTTAGGTAAAAGTTATCACCACAAAAAGATTAAAGGTGCCATTTATACCATGCGTAATGAAGTGGGAATGATTCAAATTGCACAATGACTGGATAGCCACCAAGAAAAGTGGGGGGGAAAAAAACTTGCCTTGATATCAAAATTCCATTGCCTTAGTTGGAAATGGTTGTGCGATCATTCTCCCATCATCCCACGCAGGTTTATGTGGTTATCATGTAATTAGAAACGGCAGCTACAGTGTATATATAAGTGGACCTCAAGCTTTCAGAGCTAACAGAGAAGATAGAAGATAGAAAATGCCAAGTTTTCTGCCAAGTTCCATGGCGCAAGACAACACTTCCTGGTTGCTCCTTATCTTACCCATCTTCCTCATTCTACTATTCAAATGGTATTCCAAGTCTGCAATCAGCAAAAGCTCACTCCCTTCTCCACCAAAATTGCCAGTGATAGGAAATCTCCATCAATTAGGTTTGTACCCTCATCGTACCCTCCATTCTCTGGCTCAGAAGTATGGCCCCTTGATGCTTCTTCATCTTGGGAGAAAACCAGTACTTGCAGTCTCTTCTGCAGAAGCTGCTCGCGAGGTGATGAAAACCCATGATCTAGTATTTTCAAACAGGCCTAAGCTTAAAATGTTTGATATGCTATTATATGGCAAGGACGTTGCATCAGCTCCATGTGGAGAATACTGGAGGCAGTTAAGAAGCATCTGCGTGTTGCATCTTCTGAGTAACAAAATGGTTCAATCCCTTCGCGGTGTGAGAGAGGAAGAAACTTCCATAATGATGGAAAAGATCAAGCACGCTTGTTCTGCTAACAGATCAGTGAACTTGAGCGAGTTATTTTCATCGATTGCGAACGATGTGGTTTGCAGCAGGGTGGCTTTGGGCAGGAAATATGGCGAGGGAAGTGGGAGAAAATTTACGGAGTTACGAGACAACTTTGGAGAGCTAATGGGTTCTTCTGTGATAGGGGACTATATACCTTGGCTTGATTGGCTTGGTCATGTGAATGGCTTTTACGCTAGAGCACATGCAGTGGCTGAAGAGTTTGATCGATTTCTGGAGGCAGTAGTTGAGGGGCACATGAATCGTCCAAAAGAAGCCTATGATTCTACTGAAGGCGATGATGATTTTGTGGACCTTTTGCTTTCGCTTCAAAGGACAAACTCCGTTGGCTTTCCCATTGACAGATCTGCCATGAAGGCTGTGATCTTGGTAAGAATCCTCATATTCTAACTGGTCAACGAAAAATGTGCCGTCTGTCTCTGCTGTGTTGTAAATTATGATCCTAAGTTACCGTCTTGCATGTATTTTTAAGAAACTCATGTCTTATTCACCGATACTTTATTTTATTAGTGAATTTGATTCTACAGGATATGTTTGCTGCAGGTACAGATACCACACACACAGTCTTAGGATGGACAATGACAGAATTGTTAAAACATCCAAATGCTATGAAGAAACTACAAGACGAGGTTAAAAATGTGAAGAGAGACAGATCACACATAATAACAGAGGAGGATACAGATCACATGCCCTACCTAAAGGCAGTGTTGAAAGAAACACTTCGCTTACACCCTCCAGTTCCTTTACTAATGCCTCGAGAAAGCATGCAAGAAATAAAACTACTTGGCCATCACATTGATACTAAGACTCAAGTAGCTGTGAATGCTTGGGCAGCAGCAAGAGATCCTGTGCATTGGAACACTCCTCAACAATTCAAGCCAGAGAGGTTCTTGAACAGTTCAATAGATTATAAAGGACTTGATTTTCAATTGATCCCATTTGGAGCAGGAAGAAGGGGGTGTCCTGGAACACAACTTGCAATGGCGTTGAACGAGCTCGTGATAGCAAACGTTGTGTTCCATTTTGATTGGTCTTTGCCAAACGGAGAACAAGGGAAGGACTTGGACATGTCTGAAACAGCTGGGCTCACTGTGCATAAAAGGGTACCTCTTCAGGTAGTTGCGTTGCCACGTAACAAGTGACCAACATGTCAGGACCAACATTTAATACTTTAATGAATGTGTGTAGGCTTATCTATATCTGATAGTAGAATGGGGAAGAATAGTGTGAGAGAGTTGTGACTTGTGAGAGAGACTATTATTAGTGTTTTCTCTATAATATCTGAATGCACTTTGCAGCATAGTAATATTAAAAATAAAACACCTGGGAAAGGCTTATCCCCTGATATATGAGTACTGTTTATACTCCACCTTACTCTTGTCCTTTAATATAATCACAAGGGGTACTTCTTATGTATATATTTTTATTTATTTCAAATAATTTATGTCACATTTCATTTAAAAACTAAAAAGAATAATCTCAATGCTACTTATTTCTTCTTCTGCAACCTGCAAGCATGTAGTGTCCAATTTTCCATTATTAAAAAAGGCAAATAATGACACTTTATGATTTTTTTAATATAACTTTTAAATGTACGGTGACATATTAATTCAGTTGCTTATTTTTGAAATTATTTTGCATGGAGTCAAAGGATTTTCAAAAGAAACAAGTGCATCCAGTAGAGCCAAAGCTTGTGAACATAAAACCTCATCTCAACGTAATGTGTTATGCAAGCCTTGACACTGAAGGTGGCCCCGTTCAAGTGTTAATGGTAGCTTTTAATTACATTTAATTGTTGACGACTTTTTCCATGTGATTTTAGAAGGAAAAAAATTATATAAATTGTTCTGCGTCTTTTTTTTTGGGGGACTGAAATTCTTCTGCGTCTTAATAAAGGATTTGACTTCCTTCTGACCTTCTGGCCCGGGAAAAAAAAAAAAAAGAAGAGAAAAATTATTATCTAAATCAAGTCTTCATCACATCTCAGGCCAAGAATATATAGTCTTCATCAAATCGTTATCATTATATAACAATATTACTTACAAATTTCATTTGATTTTTCACCCTTACCACTCCACTGTCTGAAATTGGAACGTGTATACTATCACAATTCACGAGAATAAGGAAAATTGACAACTTAACATAAAAAGTCAGTGTTTGATTCATATAATGCAAATAGTGAGAGATCAATAATCTGATCCTCCATTACGAACAACAGAGACGCATGCAAAACTAATCATTTATATTTCACTTAGGCATAGAAGATTTGAATGAAAATCAAATTATAATTTTAAAAGTAATTTTACGTTATATAAAATATATATGTAAGAAAAATTTTATTTCGATTTATGTAAGAATATTTTTTAAAAATGTTTTTTTTTATTGAACCAAACACCTTTTAAGAATCAAATTGGATTTTATAATGATCGAAAGGAAGGATGTCAAATATTCAAACAGTAAAATTCTTTAAAAATAATTTTTTAATCATGATTTATAAAATACAAAGTGAACATGTGAAGTGAATTTTGTTTCCAACCATGTGAATTGGGCTAACGGAGTTAAAACTGAGATCTCACGGATTACGAGCTGAAAATTTACTCATTTAACCAAAATTTTCTAATGTTTTCTTTAAACAGAAGGATAGGATGACGAGCACAAAATAGAAATGTGAATTCAATGAAGAACAGGAACATAGCTCCCAAGAAGACCAACACGTATCAGCGAATTAAGCAGATCAGACCTCCCCATTACATGCCATACATAAAATGCCAATAGAAAATTCCAAACCATATAACTTGGCCAGTACAATTAGCACACTGACTCCCAGCTCTAGGCATCTCAACAACACTCGAATCTGCCAGTTTCTGTCCCATAATGTATCATTTGTACACCCTCCAATCCTGTAATTATTATAGGGTTGATTTTAATCTTATCGTTATACTTCCAAGTGCTAGACATTGGCTAGCTCTGTCGCAGGAGCAAACTCCTTTTCAAGCTTCATGACCCAGGCTTCGGTTGATCTCCAAGGGAAGAAGAAGATTCAGCTCCTCATGATTGTAGGTGTGGCTTTAGTAGACCCTGAAATTTGTTTTGCCCTTGACGAACCAGTGCGAACGGAAAGTTTGGCGGAGAAAGCGAGAAAATCCAAAAATGAGAGACAGAAAAAATGAAAAGCGAGAGTCAATTGGTGTGCACGTCTCTTCCCACACCCTTTGAAAATTTTCTAATATGCCATATCCCCCATCTGGTCTCATCTTCCTCTTAAATTTTTAACTTCAATAATTCTTGATCAGAGAAAAGAACTACCCACGTATCCTGCCACTTGACTCTTCACTACTTCTTTCTTTTCGTTGCAAGAGTACTCCACGTGTACATGCAAATTGAATCCAGCTGGCCAGTACATTTTCATCAATACTTTCCTTCAAAACTCATCGTTTCACTTGCTTTTTAGTTTTTCCCCCCCGCCCCCTTTAAAATTTCCAGCTATAATATGTCTAAAAGTGCAATTAAAGACTTCCGTCCGACACATTTCTCAAACTATTTCCAGCTTCTCGGTTCTCACCTCTCCCTCCAACCGGAATCTGGCGGACAGGTCAACCCCCCACCTTCATCAATAATTCTGCAATCCTGCTTATCACGGAACAGAACAGGGATCTGAGATAATCACGTTATCACGGAAGGTCCTTGCTGGACCTCCACCTGCGACGACGCGGCGAAGTTGGTGGAAGACGGGGAAGAAGCCGGCTGTAATGAACACCCTTCAGTGGTAAGTAAAGTGACAGAGATCCACAAAATAAGAGAAGGCATAGATGAGTTAATTCCTCAGATTCGACAACTGAAAGTAATAAGCCATAGGCTACAGGTCTTAATAACACTGAAACGCTACTCTCAAAACCAGAAATAGCAGAGTCATAGAAGGGAAGAAATACAGAGGAAGGAAGAAGCATACAAACAGAGAAAATTTGATTTGCCCAAAAACTGCCTCCCCCAATGACTTAACCAGCTAAATATTTGCATGGCACGCACCACCTTGTCCTGTTCTGCTCTGCTTTGCTGCCAGCTGTGCTTCTTGCTCTGCATCAATATCGTCCTTATGCTTTTTGTCCAGTTCCACTCAGCCCTATTTTCCCTTGGAGTATTCTCATTAGTCAATCAGCAATTGGCCTTCCTTCTTCATTGATCATGACACCGACCTCCGGCGCAAATTCTGACCTCCTATTCTCTTTGAATCTTGGCCTTTCGCTCTTAATCCTATTAAGTAATAACCGCATCTCTTAATCTGCTTTGGCTTTCTGCAATTTTCGGCGACCGACAGCCATCTCCTCTCCACAGTCGAGCTTCCTCCTTCCTGCGAGCTTTCTTCAGCCGTCTGTTCATGCACTCTTGTGGTTTCTTTGTTCTTGTTTCCGTAGGATTCCTTATCTTTGATTTCGATTTGGGTTTTCTTCCGTTTATGTTATTCAATTTCTCTCTGCACGGCTCTGTACTTACGTTATTCAATTTCTGGACTGCAAACCTCCCTCCCTCCTTTAAGATGCTCATCAAATTCCAACCGTATAAATTTAAGGTGGAAGGCTAAGATTTAAACTTCTAATTTTTTTCCTGAAAAATATTTGCTTAACAGTTATATAATTCAAAACAAATGTAATCTTTTAATCGTACGATTTTCAAAAAATAATTTTTTTATTTAAAAATCATAAGTTGAGAATTTTAAATCTATACTATTAAAACTGAAATTTTTATGTAAGCAATTAAAATTCTTATGAAATTTTCAAATAGTTTTTTCCTATTCCATCGTTATTATTGGTATTCTTGCGATGTGGACTGATGCATCAAACTTTTCTGCTAACAGCATTTATGCTTTGGGGTTTATATATCTGTTACCATGGGTACTAACAGGATATTGACAACCTCATGGAAAGATATTCTCTGATCTCACTCGGGCTTTCATTAATTTAAATATCTCTCTCACTTGAGGAATGCATGTTTTTAAGATATCGATGATAAACCATATCTTAGTTAATGACTTATTAGCTCTGTGCATCTGCAGATATGAAACTAGTGGAACAACACGGTTAAAAGGGTGCTTTAGGTAAGGTGGTGGCAAGGGCTGGACAACTTGCTGGTACGAAAATTGGAGAAAATTTTTATTTGCTATGTCAAACTTGACAGTGAAGGTGCGTTCTGATCTCTCACAACATGATCGTCTAGTCTGTAATGTTTGAATCTTTTAGTGGGCATACACATACACGGGTGAGGAAAAGCTAAAAAATTCTTAACCTATGTGGGTTCTGGTTAATGCAGGGGATTGTATGCGATTGAGAGAACCCGTCCATCTAACAAACAGATAGGACTGACTTGATTGACCAAACACAAGAGGAAGAGAGAGAGATGTCAACTTTTATGACAAGTTCCATAGTGCAGGACAACACCTCAATGTTGTGGCGCACATGGTCGCTTATTATATTCCCCATCTTCCTTGTTCTGCTATTCAAATGGTATTCCAAATCTACAACCAGCAAAACCTCACTCCCTTCCCCACCGAAATTCCCAATCATAGGAAATCTCCATCAACTAGGTTTGTACCCTCATCGTGCTCTCCATTCTTTGGCTCAAAAGTATGGTCCTTTGATGCTTCTTCATTTTGGGGAAAAGCCAGTACTTGTAGTCTCTTCTGCAGATGCTGCTCGTGATGTAATGAAAACCCATGATCTTGTATTTGCAAATAGACCCCAGGGTAAAATGAATCACATACTGTTATATGGCCGTAAGGACATCGCATCTTCTCCGTATGGAGAATACTGGAGGCAGATGAGGAGCATAAGTGTGCTGCATCTTCTGAGCAACAAAATGGTTCAATCCGTTCGTGGTGTGAGAGAGGAAGAAATTGCCATAATGATGGAAAAGATCAAGCACGATTCTTCTACGAACATGTAGGTGAATTTGAGTGAGTTATTTGCATCAATTACGAACGATGTGACTTGCAGGGTGGCTTTGGGGAGGAAATATGGTGAGGAAAGTGGAAGAAACTTCATGGAAATTTTGATGAAGTTTGGAGAGTTACTGGGTACATTTGTGGTTGGGGACTATATACCCTGGCTTGACTGGCTTGGTAATGTGAATGGTTTATATGCTAAAGCACGTAAAGTGGCTAACCAATTGGATCAATTTTTGGAGCAAGTAGTTGCAGAGCACATGATTCGTCCAAAAGAAGCTGGGGAAACTGAAGGCCATGAAGATTTTGTGGACGTCTTGCTTTCGATTCAAAGAACAAACTCCACAGGATTTCCCATTGACATGACTGCCATAAAGGCCTTGATCCTGGTAAGAAAACTACTCTTAGCTTACAATATATGTCATATATCTCTGTTATTATGATGTCGTAAATTGACAAATTCAACCCAGCTAACTGATCTTCCTTGTTAATCTCTTCTCATTGAGACTTGTCAATATGAATATGATTCTGCAGGACATGTTTGCTGCAGGGACTGACACGTCATTTACAGCTTTAGAATGGGCAATGGCAGAATTATTAAGGCATCCAGATATCATGAAAAAATTGCAGAATGAGGTTAGAAATGTGGGGAGAAAGAGATCAGATATGGTAACAAAAGAGGACATAGATCACATGCCTTACTTAAAGGCAGTTTTGAAAGAAACACTTCGCTTACATCCCCCAATTCCCTTACTAGTCCCTCGAGAAAGCATGCAAGATGTGAAAATTCAAGGCCATGACATCAAATCTAGGACACAAGTAATTGTGAATGGTTGGGCAATAGCAAGAGATCCTGTGTATTGGGACAATCCTCAAGAGTTCGAGCCAGAGAGGTTCTTAAATAGTTCGATAGATTATAAAGGACGTGACTTTCAGCTGATCCCATTTGGAGCAGGAAGAAGGGGGTGTCCTGGAATAGAGTTTGCAATGGCCATTGTTGAGCTTGTGATGGCAAACATTGTCTTCCAATTTGATTGGGCTTTACCTAATGGAGAAACTGCAGAGGCCTTAGATATGTCTGAAATAGCCGGTCTTTCAGTGCATAGAAAGTTGCCTCTTATTGCAGATCCATCATCTTATATCGAAAGTAGCATAATATGAGCTAGTCAAGGCTCGAGACCTCACCCCCCTCCGTGTCTTCCTTTTTTTTTTCCCCCCCTTCTTAATATTTAGCACATGCCTCCTTTATAAAAGTAAAATCTGTTTATGGTAATAAGGTATGTTTTTGAACTTATCATTTTCATTTACGTTGCTCTGTATTTAGAAATGCACTGAAGTTCATCTTCACAATTCAAATGTATCAAATAGATGTTATGTATATGCTGTAAGTAAAATTGACAGGTCATTTAAATTTAAAAGAGAGAAAAATTAATACTACTTCTTGTCCTAATTATAAGAGCCAGTTGACTAATTTGAGGAGATGAAGGAAGTAAATTGAGTTAGTTATTTGTCCTAAATAAGTACTGTCTTTCTTAAAATATCCTTACTAATCAAGTGTATTGACTAGAATTATTATTGTTAGAAAGGTAATTTTGGAAAAAAATGTATAAATATGAGAGACAAAGTGGATTGGGGTTTTATATTTAGGACCAAAATAAAAACCAAATAGGATCTTATATTAAGGAGTGGAGGTAATATAATTTGATTGTTGAGTTATACTTGATCAAGCGGTTGACGTGCGCACTAGTGCTGGTTGGTCGCCCACCATAGCAGGAATATCGCAATCATTGACAAAATAAAATGATCCTCAAGAAAAAAAGGAAACCTTTTTGGTGAGAAGTTTCATAACAAAAACGATAATATTTACTCGCCGCCAGGTCTAATTTAATTTGTTATGATTCAATGGGTTAGTTGATAAGATTTTGGATAATCTAATACATAATCAAATTAAATTTTCATTAAATATTATTTATTAAAATGTGGCCTCAACCCTAATATCAAAATTAACTAGGATATTTAATTAGATTAAGTTTAAAATATATACTTAATCTTTTAATTTTATATAAAGTTTTAGTTTGGTTTTTTAATTTTAAAAAACATATTTTTAGTCCTTTAACTCTAAAATCATTAGGCTTAACTTATGATTTTTTAATAAAACATTGTTTTTAATATATTAACATTTGAGAACGTTTTATCAACATGTAAGATATCAATATCATTATTATTTTTTGTTAATAACTAAAAGTTTAAAAGACTAAAACTATAATTTGTCCTTTTTTTTGGGTGACAAGTCATGTCAATATTCGCCTTCGAAGTGGCAAACAACCTAGCGTGTAACAGGTTCGACAGGCCATTTCTGTAAACAGGCTGAAATTAATAAAGCCCAATTGATAATGTGCCGAATGCAGGTTTACATTTTCTTTTTAATTATTTAAATTTGAAATTAGTAAAAATAATTACCCTCAGTATCTAATTATAATATAATATTCCCCAATCACTTGGTTAAATTGCGAGAACATCTCTTTCTCGTGTCAATATTAGTTGTTTAGACAAATTTTTAACGAAGATTTAATCACCCACTTAATATTTAATGCGATAACAATTCATTAAAAAGTATTACCTCTGGTTTTTAATATAAGACTTAGTTTATTAATTTAAAAAAATTAAAATTAGTTATTCATAGTAAATAAATATTATCTTTTCTAAAATATATTTATTAATCATATGTGTTTGAATTACAAATTGATAATAACTCCTTAACACATGAAACTACTATTGGGATTATTTTAGGACAAAATAAATAAATATTAGAGATAAAATAAATTTAAATTTTTATTTAAAATCAAATTAAAAATCAAATTAGTTTTTATATTAATCACTGATAAGATAATACATGTATGGCAATTTTTCAAAATTTAATGCTGGAAGATATTGTAGCCATTAGGAAGCAGGATAAAAAGGTAGGAGCCGGGGCCGATCGCAGACGGCCGTTGAAGGGTGTCTTTCTTTTCCTTACCTTTTCCCCCTTCTTTTCTCTTCATTAAATTAAACATTATCATAAAAAATAAAAAGCTCTGCTATATAAAAATTTATTTAAATTAACATTTGTCAAATTAAGTTTCATCCTAACTTATTTTTAAATTAAAATAAGGATAAAATTTAAGCAAGGTAACATAATTTATTATTCAGACGATATATTGAAAAGTTAATTTCAAACAATTTCAATATTAAAAAATCACAAAATAAAAGCTAAAAATTAAAAAAAAATACTCTAAACTATTTTAAAATTAAAAGTCATTTTCTGAAAAGCTATCTCAAACTGACTTTTTAAAATGTAGGAAGTCAATTTTGTTGAATAAAACCTGACGCAAAACATGCACTAAAACGTTTATGGATCGTTGAATTCAATTTTACCCGTATATTCAGATCAAATATATATATATATATATATATATATAATAATATATATAAGAAGCAGCAAGCGGTGGCAGCATAGTGGTGGGGATAGTGGGGAGAGAAATTTCGCGGAAGGACGCTATCACCAAACATCCCTATCTCTATCAAATTCTCAATCACACCCAATTGTTTTTTCAGCAAACTACCCCTTCCACTTCATCGCCCCTGATTCTCCCTCTTCCTTCTCTCTCTCTCTACGTTTCCAGTTCTCTTATGTTCTCCCTCACCTTCCCTGTAAAAGGTATCTACTGTATCCCTTCTTTTGTTTTGTTTGTTTGTTTGTTTTTTTTTTTTGTTTTGGTTTTTCCTTATTCCAATCCAGCCACCCCTTCAAATCTTAAATGTAGTGTTTAGTCATAGCTTCAAACAATGATAAGGGGTGGGGCGGGGCTACTAAACAAATGTCGCTGGATTGAAATTAATGTTAAAATGCAGGTTCTTGGACTTGCTGTCTGGTTTCAGTTGTATTTCATTAAACCATATTCCTGCATGTTTTTCGCGTATTTTTTATGGAAAAAGAGAAATCAGAAATTGTCAGGTTTTGTTTCAAAGTGTAATGTGGCACATCTTTTGCTTTTTCATGGCAGTTCTTCCTGAGAGAATTTAATCAGGTGCAGAATCTCCGTGGAATTTAGAGGGGATGGGTGGATCCATTTCAAAACGGCGTAGTGGGAGGCAACGTTCTTATTCAAGGACTAGTTCACATTCTTGGAGTTACCCTCCGCCTCAATCACCCTACGTGCAACAAAGCCAAGATCATTTGCCTCGTGAATACTACGGGGCTCCATCTCAAACCTACGGTGGTGGTCGTGCACCTGAATCACGAAAGAGATTGGAGAGGAAGTATTCAAAGATAGGTGACAACTACGTTAGCTTGGACCAGGTGGTTTTTCTTTTCACCAAGTTTCGTTTTACGAAGTGGTTTTATGAACTAATGCATTATGAGGCCAGAATAACATTTTCTTTTTTGCGGTACTCTTCTCTCTGACAACCACGATCCAAGTGCATCGCTGTTATACGTCTAAGGAGGCATCATCATCATTATATATGGACGCTTTCATCATAAACATTGTTTAAATTAAGGCACAAATAGTTTCCATTGCTTTGCTGTTTTCCACAACATAATAATTTTAGGTTATTCTGACTGATGGCATAACAGTAGTTGTTGGTATCTTAAGTTCACTGACAATCTGCTGTAATTCTTGATTTTGTCAGGTAACCGAGGCTCTAGCAGCTGCTGGTTTAGAGTCTTCCAATCTAATTGTTGGAATTGACTTCACAAAGAGCAATGAGTGGACAGGTTTTCCTTCATTTGGCTGCTCTCCTTTGTTGTCTTTCTTCTGCAATTTAGATGACAACTGATACTCATAACTCGCCTTTCATCAGGTGCAAGATCATTCCAAAGGAGAAGCCTGCATCATATTGGTCATGACCAAAATCCGTATGAACAAGCAATATCAATAATTGGAAAAACAATGTCTTCCTTTGATGAGGATAACTTAATTCCCTGTTTTGGATTTGGCGATGGTAATTTCAAAATTTCAGTATCTAATGTATCACACTCTTGTGTTTCTTTCCAAGTTATATTATATGTGGTTTACATGTTGGCAGCATCAACCCATGATCAGGAAGTTTTTAGTTTTTATCCGGATGAGAGATTTGTCAAGGATTGAAGAAGTGTTGAGACGGTACCGGGAATTGGTTCCCTGAATTAAAGCTTGCAGGTATTAGAACCTTGGTCATTCCTCATTTCCTTGTTGTTTTTTTTGACGACAGCATCTTGCTTATGGTGTTTTCTGTTCTGCCTACTATGCTTTGACAGGGCCAACATCATTTGCCCCAGTAATTGAAATGGCAATCACCATAGTTGAGCAGAGTGGTGGCCAATACCATGTTTTATTGATAATAGCAGACGGACAGGTAAAACGTTTTTAGATTATGTTAAGTCCCTGTTAATAAAAAGATTAATTGTTTGTATAAGAACTTGCTGAAAGCCTAAAGATGATATTGCTGCAGAATTATCAGTATGGTATGGTCTTGGTTGCCTTGGGGCCTGATTGAAAATTGGAATTGGAAACTTATTTATGTTGAACTAATTGAAGCCCAGGGTTGCTTCAGGTGACAAGAAGTTTTGATACTGAGAGAGGACAGCTAAGCACTCAGGAAAACAAACTGTTGAAGCTATTGTGAAAGCAAGGCAATTATCTGTACATTGCTGTAGTCTTTCAATTGCCCTTTTCGGAATCATATTTCTGAACTTTGTGTTGTTTTCAGTGAATATCCACTGTCAATTATATTAGTTGGAGTTGGAGATGGGCCATGGGACATGATGAAAGAATTTGACGACAACATACCAGCCCGGGCCTTTGATAATTTCCAGGTTTGCATCTCAAGACCAGATTATAAGCTGTCTGTTTTGCTCCTGACATGTCCTTGGTCAATAATGTAAAATCTGTAATTTTGCTTTTCTTTAATCTGTTTGGCGCAGTTTGTGAATTTTACTGAAATAATGTCAAAGAACATGGATCGATCCAGAAAAGAAACAGAATTGCACTTGCTGCGCTAATGGAAATACCCTCTCAGTACCAGGCAACATTGGAACTTAATATACTGGGGTATGCATGTTAAGCCCTTTTTTTTATTTGTTCCGTTCTGTTATTTTTTTTTTTTCTTTTTCTGGGTAAAACTTGCCGTACTTGATGTAACAACTGTTGTAACGCCGTTTAATTTTTGTAATATTTCAACAGTGCTCGTAGAGGGAAAGCGATAGATAGGTTCCTCTCCCCCCGCCTCTGTATGGTGCTGCATCTGTCAACGCCCCAAAAGCTTCCCGTTCAAGCAGTTTTCATCCTAGTGCACCATCTGACAGGCATCATGATACGGGCGCAAATCGTCCTGCAAGTT